AAATACTGGAAAACTTCTTTCTAATTAAAGCTGACTTCTCTCCTAATGAATCAATGTTCAGGTGTGCAACAGGCTTCCTGCAGGGAACAACAGCTTCCATTTGTTCCCAGACAACACTCACAACAGCTGCCCCTCACCTGCTCTGCAGCAGTTTCTTTGACAGATCAATATGAAAGCCTCAAGCCTCAACCAAAGTACAACAAAATCAATAGCACGAGGAGATGGAGTTTCAGCAGCACAAGGGAGAATGCAAACCTTGCAGCATTACCTCGGCTGAGTGAAGAATGGCGGCTGGCAATTACTTTTTATGTTGTCTTAAATATACATTTTATGGATTAAAAAACAAAACAACAACAAAAAAAGCAACCTTCAGAATTTTTGAAAGATCCCATCCTATCTTATCCCAGTTTGAAGATCTTACAGACAGCTGAGTTTTTGTGTTTAAAGACACCAAATATAAAAATGCCTCTAGTGTCACTTCACGTAGAACACTAAGGGCTCAGTGACATCCAGTGCTCCTGCCACAGAAGGGCTTGTATCTTCATAGAAACAAGGCTCCGTTCAGGACGCCAGCTTTCCTGGGAAGGTGCAGCGCTCCGCTCAGAAATGGTACGTCTGCCCATCGGCATAACACGGACCCCATCTAGTGCATCAGCCTCACACAGCAGCGGCCTCGGCGAGGGACTGAGTGTGTCACATGGGTATTTTCCCCTACCCTAACTCCCTGTCAGCCATTCTTGCAAGGTTAAAATATTGTATACATGGGTCATAGAAAATAGGAGGTGCATCAGAAGAGGGGAAAATTAGGAGCATATGGTAGAAGACATATTGTAGGACTAATGGAGAGGGGTTTTTTTAACAGTGGCAACAAGCTAAAGTTCAGATACTCCAGTAAACAGAGATATTGAGTTTTCTGTGGCAGGTTCGGTGTTTTAAGGCTCTTCCATGGCCCTATCAGAAGCTCCCGTGGGCAGTTGGAGGCTCCAGCCGCCAGCTGTTCCGGGCACCACGGATGCGGCACGAGAGCAGGCAGCTCTCCCCACCTCTGCCACACTGCTTGGATTCTTCAGTGCAAAGGAGCTGGGGAATAATGATTCTCTCCCAAGAAGGAATCAAGGGAGCGGGATCAAACACAGGAGTTTGCTGGGAATAAAGTGGAAGATGCAGAGCCAAATGACTGCTCTAGATAGAAAGAGATTGTTTTCTCTGTTTATGGACATACTGATGGGATTATGAAGGACCTAACCAAAGCAGTGGAAAACATGGAAGGAAGTATTTTTTTCTGTCCTTGTTGGGGATCTTTCACATTTTAAAACCCCTCTGTGTTCCTTTGCTATCTGAGCCAGTACTTTTTTTTCCACAGGATGTCCCCTCATCTTAATTACTTCTTTTGATGCAGTAATAGAAAGGAGGGAGATAGAATAGAAGGATGGGCAACAAATCTCATGCCACAGTGTGCTCCCCACTCCCACTTATGGGAAGAAGAGGTGAGAATGACCCTGGGCAATCCTATTCTCCTCCGCTAGGCAAAAGGGCTTTAGCAAAATTCCCACCTCACGAGAAGCCCTTCTTGTTTGAAGCTGGGCTGCCTGGAGTCCTCCACACAGTCAAGTGCACCTTCATATGGCTTGTGCAGAAATAAGGGAGAAGACACTAGGCAATATTAGACCTGCAGTGAAACAGGCACAGACACTTTCCATTTGTTCTTTGCTCAATTTCCTTTGGAAAATGATCTCTAAGTATTTAAGATGGCTCACTGCTTTTCATCATTATTAAACCCAAGCAACCGCAAAATATGTTAATACTTCTCCTGTCTGCTTAAATCAGGACAATGTTAAGAAGCAGGGGAGCAAAAAAGCACACATAAATACAAATTTAAAAAAAAAAAAAAGTTTGTTCCCAAAGGGAGTTTTGCCTCCCAAAGGCCTGTGCTATTGAACTACAAGCCATTTCATCTTTTTAAAGTGCTTTGAAGAGGTCTTCCTGGGATGAGAGCTGGAATAATATATTTCAGCCTGAGCAAAAGTCCTCTGAAATCTATTGCAGCGTTGCCAGCCACAGGCACACAAACACTGTGAATCAGGCCTCCAGAACCACGAGGCTGACCTAAAAAGCATATCCCTCACAGTAGATTTCTCTGATTCTTTCTCTGCCTTTTGAGTTCTGAATGGCTGGGTATGGCAGGGCCATGTTTTCAGCAGTTTTCCACAGCAGCCACGAAGAAGCCCAGCAACCATCCCAAAACAAACAAACAAAAACTCAGACTGCAAGAGCCAATCCAAAAGCAATAACAAGTACTAGAAAGTCATGAAATCACAGACCAGAACCACGCGTTAGACTCCAGCGGCCGTGCTCTGGCGTGTTGAAAGGAAGAGGTTGAACATGAAGACTTGGGGGGGTGACACGGGCAAGCTGTCATAGCCCAAGCTACACGCTCATTTAAGCGAAAACTGCAGGGTCTTCTATTTTCCTCAAAGGCAGTGCTAAAGCCATATCGGCTAACACTACCTCAAAACATTGAAATCAGAACAAAAGTATCAAAATTGGCACAACTTGGAGAGGGGAAAGAAATCCCATGCCCAAACCTTTTTCCTTCTGAGAAAAGGAAACTGCCTCAAGACACAGAGATCTAAACCCCTGTTTAGCAGGAGGTGCCCTGGACTAACCTTCAGATTTGCTCTTCATGGTGTCTCACTGCTACTAGTTGGCTCCTTCCTCATCTATGACTGTATTTCCTAGTAGAGAGAAAAAAAATCTGCTATTCTGAGAGTTAGATGCTTATATTTCAGTGGTTTAGAAAAATGGCTTTTAAATGAACGAGACTGAGCTGAAGATCCATAAATACACTCATCAGCACACCAAGAGACTATAAATACCTACAGACTGGGCACACCTAATATACTGTTATTCCTTGCATATCATGAATCCTCAACAGATGAGCCCATACTAGAGCTTTACATTTAAAATACGCACCTCTACTATATACAGACATTCAGTTCTGTATCAGAGTATCGCAGTTCTCCCTGTCTGTGAGACTCAAACAATATCCACTGCTGTTACAGAAATTCCTGGGCTCAGAGCAAAACACCTGGGGACATGATACTCTCCAGTATCAATGGAGGACACTCCCTTAGAACATAAACCTGGAATTTCAAATCCCTGAACTACACCAGCCTTTACTGCAGGAGTTGTCAGCCTCAGGATGAATCATCCAGTCATCCGGCATCTACCAAACACAGCTGAAATTGGCTTCTGTTTTTTTCCCCATTACAATTATTACACTGGCCAAATCGCTTTCATAGTGATCCCAAATTACCTGGAAACATTAAAAACAGTCATGCCACAACACAGTTCCAAAAAGATTGAGCTCCTGTTGATGTATGGAAACTAGGGCCATAGGAAGGCATGTTTATTGTGATAGTTATTTTTGACATCTAGAAGGATTGGAATCAGCAATACTTCACATGCATTTTTCAACCTGCAGGTCCTTATTTCAAATGTGACAATCTGAAGCCTTTAATCCTTAGTCTGAGAGATGGTATGGCCATTTACACAGCTTCTTCTGTTCCCCCTTGCTCCCATTAAGCTGATAAACAATGTTT